GGGGCCCGGCTGGGCCCCCCCGCGGCTGGACGGCTTCATCCTCACCGAGCGCCTGGGCAGCGGCACGTACGCCACGGTGTACAAGGCCTACGCCAAGGTGGGTGCCAGCTGGGAAGAGCAGGACAGGTTAGAGACAGCGCGAGGGCACGTAGGGCCAGCGGCCTGCCTCGCCCCCGTCTGACCGTCGATGGAAGAGGTGGGAGCTGCCCGCCACCGTCAGGTCTTAAAAACAAGCACACGGACACACCCCTGCTTGTCTGGAGGGCCAGGTGGAGACCTCGATGGAGTCGCAGAGGCTGCCCGGTGGGCTGGGAGGAGACTGGGACAGGGCTCTAGAAGGCTGCACCCATTAGGAGGCAGAGCAGACAGGTCTAGAACGCTGAATGACAGGCTTTTGCGGGCTACTCTAGAATGCAGTGAAATGGATTATGTGGCAGAGGATTGGAGAACATCAGGCTGGCTTGGGAAGCCAGCATTCCAGAATCCAGATGTCTCATTGACCTGGAGGGGATAGGTCCGGGAGGGGGAGGGGACAGAGGGAACCAGGGCCCTTCCAGCCAGGCATGGATCCTGGCCCACTCAAGGCAGAGCCCCCAAATCTCCTGTCCCCCTAGAAGGACACTCGCGAGGTGGTAGCCATAAAGTGTGTGGCCAAGAAAAGTCTGAACAAGGCATCGGTGGAAAACCTCCTGACAGAGATTGAGATCCTCAAGGGTATTCGACACCCCCACATCGTGCAGCTGAAAGACTTCCAGGTGCGGGCCTGGGGCAGGGCCATCCCCAAATGGGGCCGGAGAAGGGACACTCTCTGTAGGCTGCCTCTCTACCTCTAATCACAGTGGGACAGCGACAACATCTACCTCATCATGGAGTTCTGTGCTGGGGGCGACCTGTCTCGCTTCATCCACACCCGCAGGATTCTGCCTGAGAAGGTCGCTCGTGTCTTCATGCAGCAGCTGGGTAAAAGATATCTCGCCCCAGCCTGACACTCCTTCCCATGTCCTCTGCCCCAGGTTTAGAGCCCTGGTTCTCTTTGCAGTTGCCTCCTGCCCTGCTAGGGTGTTTAGGGCCCTATCTTTGCCATGTGCCCATCCCTAACTTAAGGATGCTGTGAAACAGACAGAGGGAGGAGCCCCCATCTGTGGGGAGTGCAGGCTTCCACAAGTGCGGCATTATATAAGGACCTTATAGAACATTCCATGGCCCAGTGGGTAACACCTAAGTGCTTTGCCAAGGAAAAGAGCAAAATTGTAAAAGACTGGGCATCCAGGGGGGTTTCTGGGAGGAGGGGAGACTTGTCAAGGGGCAGAGGGGAGGAAGGTGGACACTCTGGTGGGATGGCAACCTCTTAGAATTGGCAAGAGCCTGGTGCTTGTATATAAAGCATTCAGTAGACCAGCCAGGCCAGAATTGGGGTTGTGCAGGCTCGAAGAGGCAGGTGTAAGCCTGGGGAGGTGAGAGGCAGGTGGAAGATGGGCTCCTCTGACTTGCCTGTGTGGGTCCTGCTCCCCAGCTAGTGCCCTGCAGTTCCTGCATGAACGGAATATCTCTCACCTGGATCTGAAGCCACAGAACATTCTGCTGAGCTCCTTGGAGAAGCCCCACCTGAAACTGGCAGGTCTGAGTTTGGAACAGCAGGGAGGAGGTTTGGAGGGTGGGTGTGCAGAGCCCACCCTCTGCCACTTAGCAGCCCTGGTTCTCACAGAGCCCTCTATTGAGTCATCAAACAGTGACAGGCTGGGACAGCCAGGTATGGGCCCCATCACCAAAAAGCAGTACCTTCTCAGGCCACCCACACTCAAATCCAGCAGTGTAATGGGCAGAGTCAGGGCTCAGTCTGTGACCAGAATTGGGACTTGCCATGTGTCTGGGTTTGGGGTTCAATCTGGGAACAGTACCAGGGTTCAATCTGTGTTCAGTGACAGGACTTGGTCTGTAATCCGGATTGGAGCTCAAACTGTGACTCAATCTGTGGAAGGATGGTGGGTGTGTGGTGGGGGAGGGGTGGTTGTGGCCCCTCATAAGATTTGGACAAGAATTGACTTGAGGCTGGAGGCTAGAGAACATGGTATAACCTAAGCCTGGGGGTCAGTGGAGGATGGGGCCCTTATCCATGTAGCTGGCGTGATCAGGTGGGCTTCCTGGGGAAAAGGTGCCTGCGAGAGCTGTGCACGGCAGGGTGGGGGCAGTATTTATACCCCCAAGGAAGATATAGGTGGAAGTTCTGGGCTAATAACGAGCATAGGATGGAAGAGAGGTTGGTCCTGGTCTAGAGAGTGGGGAGGAGCAGCAGCTGAGGATTTATAGGCCAGGAGTGGGAGCAGCTGGAGTTTGAGCCCTGCTGCCTGGCCTCTTGCCTGCAGACTTTGGCTTTGCACAGCACATGTCTCCATGGGATGAGAAGCACGTGCTCCGTGGCTCCCCCCTCTACATGGCCCCTGAGATGGTGTGTCAGCGGCAGTATGATGCCCGCGTAGACCTCTGGTCTGTGGGAGTCATCTTGTATGGTGAGACCTCTGTCCCCTGCCCCTTACCTGGAGGCCTGCACTCTGTGTCCTCAGTCAGAGCCTCTCTGGGCCACTCCTGAAGGGTCCTAATAAGAACTCTGACTAAGCCCAGGGCCCTTGCTCTGAGTGGTGTCGGACCCCTCCCCAGGAGTGGGCCAGGCTTGACTCTGTTCCTTCCTGGCCTCCCCTCTGACTCCCTTCCACAGAAGCCCTCTTTGGGCAGCCCCCCTTTGCCTCCAGGTCGTTCTCTGAGCTGGAAGAGAAGATCCGTAGCAACCGGGTTATCGAGGTGGGTCTAGCAGGGCTTTAGCAACTATTGGGGGAGTGGAGGGAGTCAGGGCCCTGAGGTTTTAAACTTCACTCCCCCCTGCACAGACTGGAGTCTGAGCTCCTGGCTGCCTTCATGATGGTGGGGTGTGCTCTAGACTGGAAGTCAAGGCCATTCCAGAGACGCAGATCGGCCCGCAATAGGCAGCAAAAGACCTGCTCCTGGGCCGGGCCGGTGGTGCACTGCTACAGTGCGCCGCTTGGGAAGTGCGGCAGCGCTCCCGCCGAGGGTTCGGATCCCACGTGCAGACCAGCGGCGCACCGGCCGAGAGAGGGGGGGGGCCCATGCTTAGGGTCGTAC